CTCTCTCTCTCTCTCTCTCTCTTTCTCTCTCTCTCTCTCTCTCTCTCTCGATCTGCTGTTGTTCCTGCTATGCAGTCGAGCAGCTGCGCTCAAAAAAAACTGTTAAAAACTAAACTTTTAGAGCATTATATATATTTTTATACATATGTACATATATCTATATCTATATATCTGCCATTTGACATCCGCTACATTTAGAAGTCGCCTGGAAAAAATAAAATTGTCTCCACCAAATGTCAATTTTCATTAAACAAATGTCACAAATGCCATAGACTCGAAATGGCCATCGCAGCAACTCCCGCTCTCTCTGTGTGTGTGTCAGCATAACTGTGTGGGTGTGTGGTATGTACATACACATACATACATATATACTCCCACCCACATACACTCTGAGGTTAACCATTTGGCTTTGCTTATCGTGAGGCAAAGGATGCTCTCATGCATGCCTTCTTCATGTCCTGCGGCAATGCGTGTCCCTTTGTCATCATATGCCTCAATGTCAGTGTGTGCGTGTTTGTGCTTATGTATGCGTGTAATTAAGTTAGTGTGATTGCCATAATCAGCTGCGCCCACAAATTTACCCACCACAGCGCACCAGTGCAAGCTGAAGATCATTTTGCCAGCGTCTATCCCTGTCTCCCTCTCTCGCTCCCACTCCCTCCCTTTTCGTCCACTCCCTTGCCATTCCTTGGGGCCAGCATATGCAGCTCCGCCCAGTCTGCACACATTTTTGATAGATTTGTTGGCTATGCTGTTCATCATTTGGCCCCAACACCTCGTTCCGCAATGTTGGCTCTGCCATTGCCAATGCTCGTTGCGGTTTACGGATGACATTTAGAGGGGCGAGCGGAGGTCATCAGGGGTCGTGGCAGGACATGGTTTTTGTCAGCTAAAGCTTATCGCGTTCCCATTCTCGCCGAACTCAATGTGCTCCACGTGAGTTATTAAATAGATTACAGTTTTGTGTTTTGGGTCGGACTTTTGCATACATGCAGACAATGTGTCGGCGAGCATGTTCTGCACTAACAGCATTCATTCACAGAGAGAGAGAGAGTGAGTGAGACAGACAGAGCTGCGGCACATGCATGAGCGCTCCATGAAATTGAGTTTCTATTTCGTCCAGCTCGTTGCTATTTATGAAGTCTATTGAAGAGCTCCCATAGAAGTTGGTTAAATTATTTTATTTTACAAAAAATAATAGTGCCAAAAAAAAAAACAATGTATGTTTATATACTGTATAATATATATTACTAGAAAAATAAAATAAATTTGATAAAAGAAATAAATCAGCAAACTTTACTTTTTATGCTCTTAGAATTATGGTATGGCGAAAGTTAATGGACATGATTTTTTAAAATAGATAAATTAAAAAAAAAATATATATTAAAAATTAAATATAATTATATATAATAATTTAGTTAACATTCGAGCAGCTCTAAAAAGAAAATATATAAAAAATAAAAAAATAAAATTTAAAAATCAAAAACAAATGAAAATATATTTTTGAATTTGCAGTTGCCTGTCCACAAAATAAAAATTTAGTTAAATTTATATTTATATCAATATTCAGCCATAAATTTGTCGTTTTGCAGTCCACTCCTTTATAGCTCATAAATCAGCTTTGTTGCAACAATCTCTGCCATGGAGCAGAGCTCACTGTTGTGGGCGTCGCTCTGCGGGCAGAGCTCGCTTCAATCTTTTCTTTAATGATTGCAGCAAGTGGCACGCTTCGCTGCTTTTGTTGCTTGTTTGTTTGTTTTTTTGTTTGTTTGCTGTGGCAAGTGGCAGATTGAAACCGGATACGAGGACAGGTCACTGGCATCGCTGTCGATGCTCGATGCTCGATGCTCGTTGGCCGTTGGCCGTTGCCCGTTGCTCGTTGCAACTTGGCTTTGTTGTTGTCCGCAACATTTCCGGCTCAAAGTGACAAAGTGCTCGCCGCTGTATTAAGAAATCATTTCGAAAACTGTCTCAAAGGATTTATTATTACTTACTATTGGTTGCTGCTGCTGTTGCTGTTGCTGTTGTTGTTGTTGTTGTTGTTGTTGTTGTTGCTGCTTCTGCTATTGTTGTTTGCAGCCGCTGAATGCACACATAAATTGCATAACATGACCTCCTCCACTCACTGTTGTTTGTGTCTAGGACTGCTCTCTCTCTCTCTCTCGCTCTATCTCTATAGCTCTTTCTATCTCTCTCTCTCTCCATCTCCACTTGGATGGATGCAAC